TGCTGAGTGTAACACTAGTTTCAGAGAAGCAACGACGTAAGCTCCTCTCCCGAAACACGCGGTTGTGGACAACCCTCTACTCTACTCGGACTCTTACTGTATACTATATATAGCTTATAACTTTATCTTCAGCTCTCTCATGTCCTGAAACTATCTCTTTCTCTCTCCCACTCTTTCTCTTGGAAGCTCTCTCTCATTTAAGTGTACCTTATATTTAAACTACATCCATCTTATTCTCGCAAGCAACGGCCGGCAACTATTGCTTTCATACTAATACTACAATCATTATGTACACTACCGAGTGTTCACTCGTACTTGGCGCAATATTGCGTTCTCACCGTCAATTAGTGAGTATTACAACCCTCGTCTCTGAGATTATGTTTCACAAAAGAAACAGGCGCGTATTGGATTGTGTTTTGCATTCAACTACTGTTACTTTTTAATAATATTTTTTTTTATACTTGAAAATTTTTTCGGTCTTTGTTCGTAGATTTTTTTTAATTAAATTAATTTTTAGTTCAAATCGGGGTTGATCTTCGATGCTTAAAGACTCTGATAGCCAGCGCTTTCTTAGAAAGTAGTTGACTTCTAGCAGTTACGGTTAACTTGAGATCAAGTTTGCGGTAATTCTTCACTGAAAAACAGTGGTAATCAAATTGAAGAAAATCTAAGGTCGCAATTTGAATAAAAGTTAACAACCAAACTGGTACTTAAATTTCCTTTTAACTTTACTACAACTTCACTGAAATACTTGTACAGCAAGTCTTGACGTCAAATTACAGAGTAACTTATAGGCAACTTAACTGAAACAGCTTGCTTTGCCAACTCTTTCTGTCAAGTTGGTTTCAAATTGCGGCCGTAGATTGACAGCAAGTTTCAGTTAAGGTGGCTACCAGGGGAGCTTTCAGGATTATCTACAGCTGATAATTTTACTGCTGCTGGTACTTTATTGACTGTAGAAGCTTTGGATAACAGAACTGAAATTCTCCAATAACCATCATTTGGTAGCAAGCTGACATCTATTCATTGAGGCATTTTGTGCTTTATTTGCTTGTAAACTGTATGCAGACTTATAGATAATCCCGGCTAAGCCAAAATGCTAAACATTGATGGTTATTTGAAAGCAGACTGACAGCAGATTCTGGCTTTTATTTCCAACTTTTGCAGTAAGTTTTTCACCAATCTGCGCCTCGCACTGACACCAAACTGTATTAGCAGATTGGCGTCAATCTAACAGCAATATTTGAAAAGTCTGGATCTGCAGTCAACTTGACTTCCGATTGACAATTATTGAAAAACAACATTGTTTATTGGGATTTTTAGAAAAAGTTTATTTGTGAGTATCGGAGTTGATAATATTGATAACTCTACATAATGAAAAATATTAGTCACTTTAATAAAATTAAATCTTTTTAATCAATAAATCAGACGGTAGGAAGAAAGAATTATTTTTTATATGTCTATCCTGATGCTGGTATTTAAATTTGTACTCCAAGTAGTTGGACTTGAATTCCAGTAGCTGGCAGCTTTGAGAATTTTTTAAATTCAAGAATAAAATGCTGGCAAAAGCAGCATCGATCATCTAATTTATAAAAGCCCCACTACGAATACACTCACTAATTCTACTGTTTAAATTATCAGAAGCTATAAAATTAGCAATATTCCATCAAATATCATTAAAGTATGAATTCTTCGGTAGTATGAAATACAATTTTAATAATTAAATCATACTTATAGTTTTTTATATATTTCATAGAAATATATTGTTTAAGATTAATTATTTTTATCTTAATCTCGTCATAAAATTTTCAAGGAAATAATTGTTTGAAATCATCATATAAGCGTAGTTCTCTAAGAACTAGACTTGTAGTTAAAATGATAAACTTGATCATAAATATTGATAATTATAATTTTTATAACCCAAAATAAAATTTTTTAACGACTCACCGATTTCGGATATTCCAACCAGCAAAAATCAACAATCGAGTCGATTCTGCCAATAATCTTCCATACACTCCACTCCATGCTAAGAAATGATGCAGAAAAGTAAATATTTATTTTGTGAAGCAAATAATATAATAATTAAATACTTATTCAGGCAATTCATTTTATAAAAACCATCAAAGGTCATGATAGCTTTTATTACGCAGAAAAAAAAAATCTTAAAAGGATTACATTATAATTAAAAAAATAAAAAATTTTGTAGCTATTTTAAAGAATATCATCGAAGATTCTCTCGAGAAACTGCGATTAATTATCGTACATTTTTCGCCAACGATTTAAACATCCATTTTTAACGTATTAGAAAAAAATTAGCTCTAATAAAAAACTTGACTTTTTCAATAAAACTCAATCATAAAAATATTTACTTCCCATTATCATAGTTTTTCAATAATCGAAGAATATATAAATTACCAATGTTGAAAAAAAAAATCAATGGGATCGAAAGGCATGTTGCTTTATGCATACATAGGTGCGCAGTAGATGGATCAAAATGCTGGTTCCGATTTTTATAAATAATCAGTAGTTGACAATGGAAATTATCATCTCAAAATCGTGATTGGCAATTATTAAATTCGTTTTACGACTATTTTTGTAGAAAATGAAAGTATGCCCGCGTTGTAAATAGATGACGCCAAACGATAAGATTTGAATTAAATAAAATTTTGGCTACATTAGTTTAAACCAACGCCTTGTACTTTATAAAAAAAAAAAAAAAATTAAATAAAATTAAACTTTCATACTCATTCATAAATAATATTATTTATATAATTAATAATTAAATGATAAAAAAAAACTAAATTTATTAAAACAATAATTTAATAAACAAATTATTTTTTGTGGTGAAATTTGTGAGAGTTCATGGATATTATTGTAATAAAAGTATTTTTTCTGTCTGAAAGTAATTTTAAATATTGTAAGTAAAAAATATGTATGAAAAATTACTTTTAAGCAAAATTAAATTTCATTTAAAAGGCAGAGCTTCAATTTAATATCCAAATGAATTCTTAATCACAGTTCAATTGAAGAATAATTCATTTATAATAGTTAAGTATCAGCTAACGAGAACCTAAAACTGTAGAAACGCGCTTGCAGCATTATCCAATATGGTTGCAGTGACGTGAGAAAGTAACCGTTGAAAGCTTTGAACGAACATTGCTGCGATCTTAGTCTTAAATAATAATAAATATGGGTCTAATTAAACATATTAGTTAATATTCATAAAGAGTAATAGATAATTAACTTATAGAGTAATAAATTTCGGTACTTAAATAAGTAGTGAAAGTATATTATTGAAAATGATAGACGTGTAACAAGTTTTGGGTTTTTTGATGTTCGCTAAGTACCGCATCATAAGGAAGGTCAAAAATAAAAGCAAATGGAACAAATGTATAAACTGATTAATTAACAATGGAATTTTTATTGTTGAAGATTGTCACATGAGTCATTTTTACTGTGATTCAGCTAGAAAAATTAATTCAATAAGTATGAATTTTTAGTAGAATCCGAAGACACGATAGTGTCTCGCGCCAAGTACACGTCCAACATATGGCGTGAGACAACGTGTCTTTATTCTCTAATCATATGTCAACATAACCTCTTTACATATTTAGCTCTATATTTTTTATTATTACTAAGACACTAACACTTTACACCATTGTTAATAAGTTTCTTTTTACCAATTATACATATATTACAAAAAAATGTTGGGTCTTAACAATTATTTAACTAATCGCGAGTTTGAAAATTTTTACTTGCGCCTGTTTTCGATTCTACGAGAGATTTTACAAATTTAGGGCGAATTTTATTATTTCAAAGTTGGCACTACTTAACTCTGTTATTCTACCATCTAAATAGCTAGTATACTAAATACTGAACTTAGCGCCCATAAGTAGTTGGTCTTTAGTTTAGAATTTTAATATACGACAGTAGGTGGAGCCACAAAATCATTACCACTGTATTTTAGAAGCACATTGGTCATTCACGCGCGTCATTTAAAGTAAAAATATTGTAATAACTTCGTTTGTAATTAAATTATTACAAAAATTTATGAATAATGAATTAGCTGCATAACTTAAAAAGTACATATTTGGAATTTAAAAATGCTGATAAAATATTTGATTATATATCCCTTAATATATTCTTTACAAAAAAATGAGATATCCCACAAAAAACAGTTTCATTGTAAACCGTCGCGCCAAGTACACGTCTAACTATTGTTACAAACCTTGATAATTCAATTTTTACAAAAAATTATTAAATCGAAAAAAAAATCCAAGTACAAAAAATTTTGTAGATTAAAGAAACGCTAAAGACAGTAAATATTGTTAAGGAAAAAAATTAAATGTCCTTAGTGTGCATCATTCGATTATAATGCACACCATCATTCAATTATAATGCACACCAAGTACATTCAATTTTTTTCCTTTATATTTACTGTCTTTAGCGTTTTTTTAATCTACAAAATTTTTTGTACTTGGATTTTTTTTTCGATTTAATAATCTTTTGTAAAAATTGAATTATCAAGGTTTGTAACAATAGTTGGACGTGTACTTGGCGCGACGGTTTACAGTGAAACTGTTTTTTGTGGGATTGGATATTGGTGGAAGTCAATTTATAAAGTTTATATTTATTAATTTTAGAAAAAAATATGCTGTAGAAGAAAACTTTTGGCCGCCACAATAGTGCTTTAAAAGTCGAGTTTCTCCAAAAAATTTATTTTAGCATCACGTTAGTTTTAAAGTTGAAATTTACGGTATTTCAAAAACCGCAAGGGTAACTAACTACAACTGTTGATTTGTACACTGTACCTATAAGATTGGACATCAACTAGACAAATCAACACAACTTTAGTTTTCATAGAAGTAACTTTTTTATTGTTATTATTATTCAAAATAAACTGTTTACTCGATTAATTATATTATACATCTCTTTTAGAAACTTTTTTGTTGTTTTCATTAATAACTAACAATCATTCATTTCAGATAACATGACTTCATTTATCCGAGAATAACTAACCTCATCACAGAAAAAAAAGATACCATAGTTTTAACAATATTCGTAAAATTAGGTAAGTTCATGTGGTAAAATTTCCCGGCTGTTAAATGATACTGCTTGTTTAATCTTTGAATAATATATACAATGTCCTTACGCATGCTAATGGAAAAATCATACCAACAACAATCATAAACGGAATTACACGATTCTTCAACTTTTGATGACAGTTTTTCACCTGCGTAGCAATATATAAATATTTGAGACGAAAAATATAAAATTGTTCCAGTAGCGTCTTGAAAAACCATTCTCATATTATCGTTCTTGAGCGCTACGAATATCATTATTACTGAAACAATAAATATAATTCATGTTAAAAGTAATATTTTTTGAATATTATTAATTTTCGTTAATTGATAATTTGAGTGTATAATTTAATCTAACAGAAAAAACCAAGTTGAATGGTTGAGGTTTATTTTTTCATCTTTCGTGCTAAAAGACAAATAGTTTCCGATTGTCCGTGAAAAATCTTCAAAATATATCATCACTCAATAAAAACTCTTGGCTTTATATAATGTTAAACACTGCATTCCTATATAAGAAACATACATTCCTAAATAAACAATTAAAACTATCAGCAGTTTAACACTTTACTTTCATTCATGCACAAGCACCTCTCTTTGAGTACTACATCTATATCTTGTTAATTATTATGTCTGATTGATATACTGTCATTAAAGCTATAATCGAACATTTTCATAATTTTTTGTTAGAAAATAAAATTTTGATTATTTAACGGCATTTAATATTATTTGAGCTGGAAATCGGAAACTATTTAAAATGTGTGCAATTGGATATAATATTCTGTTGAATTTGATAACTGTCTTTATTATTATGTCACCAAACTCGCACTTGAATATAATATACCGTATCGCACCTGTTGTGTTCTAAACTAGTAAAAAGTTATTTGATAATTTTACTCATTATATTTAAATGAATCCCACTTATGATCAGAACTGCCAGTGTTATATAATTAAAAGATTCGCGAAGTTTATCCATCATGTCTAATAGATGCTTTTGACGATAAATAATCTTATAAAAATAATCACGTTCAAAAACTCCCTTTCGGTCGACGAAAAAATTTTTAATATTCATATTGTTAATCTCAATTTGCCCACATATATGTGATGCCAAAACGAGAAAATATAAATCAATTCCACAACTAGTGATATTATATATTATAAATTCAACAGTGCGACATGCGAAACGAATCAAATAGATAACAGTCGGTATATCTGCTAAATTCCAGCAATCTGAACTCATAGGCGTAGTACGCACATATATAGTTGTATTATCATCTGTTATAAAGGTATGAGGAATACTCTCTATAACGAACTTTGATGTGTACAGCAACAACGGAGTCAATATTCCATAAAATAAAATTCCATTCCATGATGAATTTTCACGCATTATGTTTTTTGATTTTTCGTCTTCGACTTTCCACCAATCATCAACCACATTTAAAACAATATATAAAATATTTTTGTGATTTACATTTAGAAGTGATATTTTTATTAGAGCAGCTACTGTGCCAAATGTTATTCCAAATAGAGAAGCTATTTCATAACTTGTACCACAATGATCTAGTAGCTCATTAATAAGAATAATTCCTGATGATATCTAGAATTAAAATAATTATATTAATGTTTTAAAGTCTCTAACATGAAATTAATATATTTCTAACGTAGTATGGAGATGTAATTTGTGTATAAGGCATTCCATGCTCATTTAGACTACTCGAAAAATTTTAACTTTTAATGTAAAAACAAAATTAGCAAAATCAAATTTTAAACTGTTCAAACTCTTCAATTTAACGTAAATTTACCAAATAGACATATAATAAAAAAATACGGATTTTCCAAAAGATGTTCCTTGGTTCCAAGGGCCACGAACATATTATTTTCATTATATATCTGTATAATCCAATAGCTTTCATTGATTCTTCTGTCCATTTTATTGTTTCACTTTCTGTCACTTTGTCCTTCATTGTCAAAATTTAACTGAATATTATTTAAGCGCTTGCATCATGCAGACGACAGAAAATATTAATTTATTGATGACATTATATAGGACATTATGTATTATTCATAGTCGGATCGGTGTAACCCGTGCAGTAGTAATGATGGTTCATATCTCGGATTATCAATATTAGAATATATTTGCTTATTTATTTCTGTATAAAATATTCTTGGGAACAATATTAATTTATATACATAAATTAATATTTAGTATATACATTAATTTTATATTTAGAAGATGCGCATTGGTAAAACATATTTTTCGTCGACAAGCACTTCATATTTATGTCATCAATCATATTACTGGGTATATTATACAATAGAATGGTTTTTTATTCTCCAACTTTGAGATTTTTCATTTCTTACCAAAAAGCGAAGCGCTTGAACTTTTACAACCATATCTTCTGTCAGCAGATACGTAACTACAATTTGATTAATTCATAGTTTTTATTTTTAGAGATTGAAGAGAAAATTTTTCTAATTTTACATGTGTGTGTGTGTGTGTGTGTGTGTGTGTGTGTGTGTGTGTGTGTGTGTGTTCAAAATGCATAAACAAGGTGTAAAACTTACGTAACCAATTATTGACATGCTTATAGGCATTAATGCCTATAAAAAATTTATTAAAGGTAGATTGGAATTTAATTATTATTGACTTATCTCTATTAAGAAGAAAAAAAAAATTAAAAATAAAAAAAAATTCTTGTTCATTTTTTTTTTTTTAATAAATTAAGTCCGAATTTGAAACAAGAATTCCGGTAATTGTTCAGATTTCGGGCTTCATTTACTACAGGCATGAATAATCGAAAAATTAACTCATCTGATTTTTAACTTCACGCTAAGAAAATTCAAAATTTTCGAAAATCGGGAAGTTATTGTTTTTACTCCGTTTTTCGAAAATCGAGCTTTCATCAGATCTCCACGTTTTGAGGTCCTAGGAATCCGTTACGACTATTTCCGGCTGGACGTTCGGCCACGTGCGTGCGTCTGTGTGTGTGTGTGTGTGTGTGTGTGTGTGTGTGTGTGTGTGTGTGTGTGTGTGTGTGTGTGTGTGTGTGTAAACCTCTCATAACTTTTGAACGGCTGGACCGATTTCATCGCGGTTGACGCCATTCAAAAAGGCTTGAGCAAACTTAGATTTTGAATACAGTTTGAGTCGATTCGGACCAGTAGATTTTGAGAAATCTTAAAAAAAAAAAAACTACGAAAGAAATTTTTTTTGAATGTGGTTTTTTTGTAATAACTTTTAAATGTATTCACCGATCGATTTCAAAAACTAATCAGCTCTTAACATAACAAAACTAAGTTATCGTTTACAAAAAAAATCGAAAAAAAAGTGACTTTATCGAATTACACCGGAATTTCCGGTCTGATCAATTTGTGTTCGAAAGTATATCATAGAATTTGAAAAACTGCGTCGAATGCTGCCAACCGCGTGAAAATCGGTTCATTCATTCAGAAGTTGTTGCCGTTTGAAAATTCAAAAAATAGTGTTTTATTAAACTCCCATCAGACTTTGGAGCTCGAAGAGCTAAAAAGAACACATAAATTATATCTTTGAGCTCGAAGAGCTCAAAAACTTCATAAGTGCAATTTTAAGCGCTTAGATATGGAATTAGCGGGAAGTGGCAGGGATGGCCTTTAGGGTCAACCATTTTCCTAATTTTTGTTTTCTATTTTGTTTATCTTCGCGGCGGATTATGAATCTGCACTCTAAAATATTAAAAAAAATTTTTTCATGAACATTTTTTAATTTAAAAATAGAAAAAATACCTACTTGTCTTGTTTTTCATTAAAATTTTCAAGGGATTGTTTTACACGAGTAACATATAACTTTTTTCTTAAAAAGCATGAAAAACTGAGCATATTAAAAAAAAATTCAATAATATAATTATTTAACATTATTCTAAATTTAATCCAAATTCTATTTTTAAATTGTATGATGGAATTTCTTTTCTCAGTTTGTTCAGTTTTTCATATACTATGAAAAAAAAAAAAAAAAGTTTAATACTATACAAAATAATCGCTTAATAGTTCCAATGAAAAACAAAACAACTCGGTATTTTTATAATTTTCATAGTGTAAGAAAAAATTAGAAATATAGAATTTTATAAATTTTTAAATCCGCCGTGAGGAAGAACAAACCAGAAAAAAAACGTTATTGACAGTCTTCGAACTAATTTTCTTGAATCAGGAATATTCTTCTTGAATCAATATAGGTTTTCTATCAACGTTTTTATCTCAATTCTCATAACTTCAGAAAAAAATTAATAAATAAAATTTAATAACATTTATTCAAAAATAACAAGTCTCATCACAGAAAAAAAAGACACCATGGTTTTAACTATATCCGTAAAATGAGGCAAGTTCATGTGATAAAATTTTCCTGCTGTTAAATGATACTCCTTATTCAGTCTTTGCATAATATATATGATGTCCTTACGCGTATTAGTTGGAAAATTATACCAACAACAACCATAAACTGCTACGCGTGAGTCTTGAAGTCTTGATGATAATTCATCACCAGCATAACAGTATATAAATATTTGAGCTGAAAAATACAAAACTGTACCAGTGGCATCTTCAAAAACCATTCTCATATTATTGTTCTTAAGTGCTACAAAAATCATTATAACTGAAACAATAAATATAATTACATGTTATTTATATTCATCTTTTTGGATTTATGTAAACCATATTTTCGATTAAAAAAGTAGTATTGAAAATAACTACTATACACGGAAAGAAAAATATGAGAACTGTTCCCATAATTTTATCGGATTTTTTCCTACGCCATGATAGAAACTACGACCATAAATTATGGAAACAGTTACCACAATTATAGGAAATTTTCCCATATTACTATAGGAATGATTCCTATAATATTATTCTAATGATTCCTATACTATTATAGGAATATTTTTTAGAAAATAATGCAGAAAACATTTCTATTATACACATAAATATCGATAAAGCTCTTTTGACAATAGAAATTTCATGATATCATTATTATTATTCTCATAATTTAATTCAAAATAGTTCACATTTTATTTCAATACCTTTTCTGAAAATTAATAATGTTGTTAATGTAAATAGTTATCAATGCAGAGGAGAGTGGAGTAGGAAGACCAAAAAAATTTTGTTTTTTGCTAAATTATCATAAATATGATACATTGACTTATTTTAAGACCAATGTATGATGCCTGGGGCATAATGGATCACCTGAAAAAAATTGACTCAAAAAAAAGGTTGTTTTTCTTTCGAATTGTTGTAAATGTAGAGTATTCATTCATTTAGGCTATTTTAGGGCAATTCAAGATATTCTGTTTATAATAAATCATAAAAAATATAATAACTTTCTAACTTTTGAAAATTGTCAATTTTCTTAGTAGGAAGTTGAAAATTGTAAACAAATTTTTTTTTTTTAATTAAAGATTTTTTTAATTAAAATAAAAAATAATTTTTTGAATTAAAACTAAAAACCATTTTTCGAATAAATTAAAAACGTGTTTTTCTTTGATTTTATTATTTCAGTTTCTTTATGCTGACCAATAAGTTTTTTTTTTATTCAAATTTTTGCAGAAGCTTAAATTATTGTTATAGCACTGCGTGTCCTAAATTCGTATTTAGGACCCGCTCAACTGTTGAGTTAAATAAACAATTATGAAACGAGTAGAGAAGAATTTTTTAGGCTACGGGCTCATATTTACGATCAATCCATAGATTTATGCTCTAAAAATTTGACTTTCACAACAAAAAAAAATAAAAAAATTTATTTAAAAACATTCAAAGCCCCAAAAAAATAGAAAATAATTAATAAAATAATAGGTTCACAGTTTATTGGAAATATTTATTCGATGTTTATGTTAAATTTTCACAACGTTTCATCGGCTGTTATTACCTGAGAGTAGAACTTGTAGTATTGACAGAGTTTTTAGTTAATTAATATTTGTTATTTATTAGTTAATGTTTATCAATTGATACACGAATAAATGAATTTGGAATATGATGTGAATAAGTTCAGGTTGTTAGCCTGCCTCGATTCATTTGACATGTTTTTAACAATTGATGTTTGATAATTGAGCACCTGAAGAAGTCGGGAAACCGATGAAACGTTGTGAAAATTTAACATAAACATCGAATAAATATTTCCAATAAACTGTGAACCTATTATTTTATTAATTAAACATGGATATGAACAACACAATGAATTTCTTAAAAATAATTAATAATTAAAATTACATCTTTTTGTCGATTATGATTCAATCTGAAGTATCCTAAAACCTCAATTAATGATTCTCAAATGATTTTTATTAACGATTTCGCTCAGTCGTAAACATTATTCTGGTGTGAAATATTTTCTGAACGTTATTTAATTTAACAAAAATCTTACTCCGTAATAAATATGGACAGTGATAATGATTTAGATGATGATTATAATGATTTTGTTCCTGACGAGATAAAAAAAGGGGAAGAATATATATATTCGGAGATAATTTTATATTAACGGTAAACATCCCTATTTTGTAGCTTCTACTATCCAGGATGGTTATTAACTTTTACAAAGTTAAGATAATAAATGCAACTATCCGGCGATTGTAAGTAGTACAATCAGTATATATTAATTCCCACAATTATGATGATACGGTTTATCATCTAGATGGTAACTTTTATCATCGGAGATAGTCAAAATCATCATGATTGCAATCATAAAAAAAAAACAGGAAGTATAAAAAACTAAACTTTTTCGATTTTAGAGTCAGTATATAATAACACGAGCGTCACACGTCAATCAGCCCAGTAACTCCGAGATATTAAAATGCTTTGTATTTATACGAACATTCAACATCGAAAATTTCCTCTCTTCTTTAACTCCATCTCTATCTGTGTTGCTATTTTTATTAATACGCTTTGAAAAAGTCTGGTTATTTCTAACTTGCAATATTTATTTTGTTTATTTATTTATTTAAAACAAAATAATTATGTTTTAAATTTAAATAATTTTAATGTTTAAATAATTAGATTAATTAAATTTAATTTAAATTAATTAATTGATTAATTTAAATAATTTTAATGTTATTTTAAATAAATAATTTTGTTTTAAATAAATAAATAATAATATTTTAAATTATTGTTATTTTTTTTTAATTTTAATTTTTAGTACTATTATTATTTTTTTTTTTAATTTAATTTTTATTATTATTATATTCTATTTATACTTCAAAAATGTTTCTCCGACAATCCAAAAAATTTAACTAATTGCTGAGATTGTGAAAAATTAAATTACTTTCCCTGATAACCATAGTTTCAGACCAACCAAGTTGGTGTCAGATAGTTGCCACCAACTTACCGACAACTTGCGTTCAACTTCCGAATTTGAAACTGTTGGCGTCAAGTTGGCTACAAGTTTCTGAGAAAAATAAGACCAATCTACTGCCGCAATATGTCGCCAAATTTCTCGAGAAACTTGTCGTCAACTTGGTGCGAAAGAGTTTCAAAAACAATTTTTGCCGACAACTTGGTGAACAACCGAGTTCATTTCCAAGACTTGCCGCCAACTTGGTAACAAGTTGCGGCAGCAAATCGACGGAAAGTTGCGACCGGTTTGGCTATCAGGGAATTGTAACGGAGTGATCGTTACCCGTTAAAAGCACTTTTATCCGCACCCATTATGTTATCGACGGATCACAGAGCGCTGTGATCTGAAGCCCTCGTAGTCATAGTTTGACACTTGTGAGTGAGTCCCCAAGGTGGAGGTGTCGGCAGTGAGAGTGGGGAGAGCAGAGGAAGAAAGAAACGCACCGACAAAATTTGGAAGGTTCATTGTGACCGAACAGTCCAGCCGAATAGACACGCAAAATTTACTTAAGATCTGTCCCAGGTAATTATTTTATTTCTCTCGACTTTGTGGAACGAAGCGATAAAAACTTATTAATTAGTGCTTGCTAGGCCGTTCTGCCAGCTTGCATTAGTTAATTTTAGTTTGTAATAAATATTAATGCCGATTTGCTGTTACAGGAGAATAATTGCCGGGGAGTACGTGACGCGACGCGCTGACCAGGTCTTTGCCGCCAATTCAAGTAGCTCACCGAGGAGATCTTTGTACCAGCATCGAGACGAGGAGCTCGCAGTTCATCAGAGGAGTGCTCAATTAAAATTATTATAAAAACTCCAGGTACAAATAAAATGTCTCAATAATCTCTCGGTGGTGCGGCATCAACCAGGCATTCAAGTCGGCTGAAGGTTACCGCCATTTCGCGTTCGGTCACAATCATTAGATTAAGTATTGCGTCGTAGAATTTACTTAATTATTATATGGAAATTTATTTATTAGAATTTACTCGGAATATTATTTAAAATATTTTTTGAAATATTATTTAGAAAAGGTTGAGAATTTATTGAAAATAAGATGCAGAGTTTATTTAAGAATTTAATTAAGAGAAAAATCCAGAATAAAAATTAGACTAAAGTTAAAAGCAAGTCAAGAATAATTACTAAATAATTAATTAACAAAACCAGGAATTATATCGGATTGTTAATTAACAACGTAGGCAGAGTTTGGATTGACTTTGCCAGGAATAATTTCGGTTGGTCAATTTATGACTTTGGTGCCATGTAAAACAAATTGTCGTTGATAATCGAGTTCGGTCGGATTTATTTAATTAATTGCATAAAGTAAATTCATTAAAATATTTTAGAGGAGTCTTAGTAAAATCATTTGAAGTAAAATTTATTAAATTCGGAAAAATAATTTATAATAAAAATTTAATTGTTTAAATAAAATCATTTGCAATAAATTTAGAATCAGTCAAAATTGCAAGAAAATTGTTCATGTAAATTTTTAGAGGAATTTTAGTAAAATCATTTGAAGTAAAAAAATTATTAAATTCGAAAAAAATAATTTATAATAAAATTTAATTGTTTAAATAAAATCATTTGCAATAAATTTAGAATCAGTTAAAATTGCAAGAAAATTGTTCATGTAAATTTATTAATTAAAAGTCGAAAACGAAACTTGTAAAATTTCGTTGAGAAAAAAAATTACCAAAATGTGCGACAAAGACGCCAGACCGAGCGAGGACGTCAGCCATCTTGTCCCGCGTGAAGCGCTGAGTAGAGGACATTCAAAGTCGAGACTAAATCGTACTGTGTTGCTAGGCAGAATATAATCCTCAAATAAAATAAAATAAAAGCTAAGTTTTTCATGCAACACAATGGAACGTAAAATAAAATAACGTAGAGAAAATAAAACTCGATTATTGAAGGACAAGCCAAGCAGTTTAGTAAAAATAACTTACATGAAATTAATTGATAAAATTTTAGTCATTGAAAGTTAAGATCTTAATTAAATAAAATAATCTGGACAAAATAAATAATTCCATAAGTTCGGATTAAAATAAAATAAATTAATAGATTCTGGTAAAATGAATTAAAATAACTTGGAAAATAATTAATAAATTCTAGTAAAATAAATTAGACAAAGCCAAGTAATTTAACACAACAGCTTATACATAAATTAAGTAAATTCAGTACATTAACTTTGTAACTCTCGGAAGTAACCAACAC